ATTTCTCATAAGACTATACACAACACTCCACACCTTTAAAACATGTGGGTCAAACGATTCTTCAGTACTCTTTGTACCGTATCCAAATGTTTACGGACGGACGGACGGCGGAGAGCGGACCGTACCCGACGACACCCCATTCAATAGTCTCATTCTTGACCATGACAAGCGTTCAGCTACATATAAAATGAGGCCAGTCTCCCTTTCAGCAGAAACAAGCCAAATCTGTGTCTTTTGCTAAACCAAACAAAAAAATTTATACCCTCAAAAGAATGTGCTCGAGTATGTTATGTGACTCTTTTTGTGTTAGAGTGCTGTTGCGTGTGATGGATGAGTGGTGGGCTGTTGTTTCACTGCGTTATTATGTTGTGTGTTGTGGTGTGTTGGTTGTCGGTGTGGGGGTAGTGTTGGTATTGGTATTGTGTAGTGATGTGTATGTTTGTGGTTGGTGTGTGTGTGTTTCTCATGTGTATGTATGTTGTTGTTTGTGTGTGGGGCATGTGCGTGCTGCGCGGACCTCTTTCTACGCCCTGCCACACCGTGACGTCACACTGATTGACGGCTTACAGCTTTGCTCGGAGCTGTCGCCGCGGTCCGCCATTACGACACCCCATCTAGCGCCTGCGTCTCACACGTCCTGGCTGATGCAGAATCCATTTAGTCTGGACACTTGACTTCCCGTCTTACATCATCTCTGCCAAAGATGGAAGGGGAAAGCACAAATTCACGCACTTCGACCGCTACTGCCTGCTGCTTCACTGCCTATCTGTTGTTACTGATACTGCTGTACTGTACTGCTGCTACTACTGATCTATTTACTGCTGCTGGCTACATCTGTTGCATTACTGCTGCTGCTGTATGTACTGCTACTTACTGCTGCTTCTGCTGACTATTACTGTTTGTATACCTTGCTGCGGCTGCTACTGCTACTGCTTACTGTCTTCTGCTCCTACATACTGCTCTATTATTTGCTTCTCTCTGCGCTGCGCTGATGCTACTGACTGCCTTCTGCTACTCTGCTGCTCGCTACTGCTGCTCTACTGCCTGCTGCTGCTGCTGTGCTATGGGTGGTTGGTGTTCTACTTCTGCTGTTACTGTCCGCTTAGCTGCTGACTACCTGCTGCTACTGCTTGCTAACGCTTGTTGTTGTGGGCTTGTTGTTTTCTGTCGCTTTACCAAAAAAAAAATAAAAAAAAAGCTCATGTCAAAGAAATAAAAAAAAACAAATTAACACAATAAAAAAACAAATGCAAAATCACCTGCTACTCCTTACTGCTGCTCGTCTGTATGGGTGATGTGTGCTGCTGCTGCTTACTGTCTGCTGCTGCTGTGGTGTGGTGCTGCTGCTCTGGCTGCTGCTACTCACTCTGCTGCTTGCTGCCTGCTCTGCTACTACTCCGCTGCTGCTGCTGGCTGGCTGTGTGGTTGCGGTGATGCTGCTGCTACTCCTCGCTTGCTGTGCTGTGGTTGCTGCTGCTGCTGCTACTTTATGTGCTGGTACTACTGCTAACTTACTCCTTACTACTGCTGCTGACATAACTACTGCTCCGTGTCTTGCCGCTTGCTCCGCTGCTGCCGCTGCTTGCCCCTGCTTGCCGCGCTGCCGCTGCTGTCCGCTGCTGCCGCTGCCTCATTGCCCTGCTATGCCGCTGCTCCGTCGCCGCTGCTGCCCTGCTGCGCTGCGCCGCTGCTGCCGCTGCGCCGCTGCTGCCCTGTGCGGGGCGCTTTTTTGCTGCCGTCTGCTGTCAGCTGCTGTCCCGCTTCTGCCGCTGCTGCCGCCTGCTGCTGCTGCTGATCTACCTGCTCTGCTACTGTCTGCTGCTGCTCTACTGCTGCGGCCTCTGATGTACTGCTGCTGCTGCTCTACTACTTAGGCATACTGCTGCCTGCAACTACTACTGCTGCCTACTGCCTGTCTGCTATGCTACTTACACCTACTACGGCTACTCTCCTGCTACTGCTCTTGTGTTAGTGCTGTGGAATGCTCTTTTTCATAGATTATGGGTCATCAGCATTGTAATAAGCGTTACATCGCTATGCTTGCTTTCGTTATATATCCTCTCATATCGTTATATTGGTTAATATTTATGTTTATTGTGAGAACGTCCGTAAGTACGTGGTGCGTTCGTCCTGCCACCGGCGTTCTAGCGTTCTTGATCGTGCCTGCGCGGCGTGCGACAGCGCGTCGCCGTGCGGCAGGCGTGAGCGCTTCGGAATGTGTGTGTGCGAGCGTGTGTGCGTGCTGCCTCTTGGCTGCTGCCGTGCGTGTGCGTGCGTACGTGCGCGCTAATGGCTGTGCGTGCGCGTGCTGCGTTGCGATCCGGCGTGCTTGCGCGCTTCACCGTCATGGAAGCATCCCATGTTCATGAATCTAAGTCCGCCAAATTCTCCCGTGGAAAACCTGTAACACAGAAGGAGAAAAGGTCATCCAGGCACTTCATTAAACTCGTAAGCGTAGCTACATCTTAGAGGTCTCCTCCCTCTCTCTCTCTCTCTTCTCTCTTCTCTCCGTTCTCATTCTCTCCCTCGCGCCTCTCTCTCTCGCTCTCTCCGCCTCTCTCTCTCGTCGCTTCTCTCTCTCTTCTCCTCTCTCTCTCTCTCTCTCTCTTCTTCTCTCCTTTCTCTCTCTCTCTCGGTCTCATTCTCTCTCTCGCCTCTCTCACTCTCTCCTCTCTTCTCGGCTTCTCTCTCTCTCTCTCTTCCTCCTTCTCTCTCTCCTTCTCTCTCTCTCCTCTCTCTCTCTCTCTTCTCTCTCTCCTCTTCCTCGCTCTCTCTCTCGCTCTCTCTCTCCTTTCTCCTTCTCTCTCGCTCTCTCTCTCTCTTTCTCTCTCTCTTCTCTTCCTCGCTCTTTCTCGCCCTCTCCGCCTCTTTATCTGCTCTCTCCTCTCTCTCTTCCGCTTCTCTCCTCCCTTTCTCTCTCTCTCTTTTCTCTCTCCTTCTGCCTCGCCTCTCGCTCGCCTCTCTCCTCTCCTCTCCTCTCTCTCTCTCTCCTCCTCTACTCTCTCTCTCTATCCTTCTCTCTCTCTCTCTTCCTCGCTCTTCTCTCCGCCTTATTCTCTCTCTCTCTCTCTCTCTTCTCGCTCTCTCTCTGCTCGTCATCTACTCTCCTGTCTCTCCTCTCTCCGCCCTCGCTCTCTCTCTCTCTCTCGCTCTACTCTCGTCCCCCCTCCTTCTCCCATCTCTCCACCAGGACTCTATCCCCCCCGGCCCCGCTTTCCTTACTACAACTGACTCAGCAGCGACTCACTGTCAGCCTAGGTATGACCTCTCTCTTCTCTCTCTCTTCTTCTCTCTCTCATCTCTCTCTCTCTCTCTCTCTCTCTCTCGTTCTCTCTCTCTCCTCTCTCTCCTCTCTCCTCTCTCTCTCCTTTCTCCTGTCTCTTCTCTCTCTCTCTCTCTCTTTCTCTCTCTTCAGGATCGACTCACGTCAGACGGTAGGGTAGGACCGTTCGAACGTCCACATGTGCAGGCGTGCGGGCAGGCTGTCGGACTGCCGTGGCAGAACTCTCCGCCGCGCGTCCCGACGTATTCGGTTACACACGCACACGGCTACCGCAGCGAGGCCTTCACGACTGTCGGTGACGATGATATTGCATGGAGCGGCGACGTCGTGATGATGATGATGATGATGATGCATATGGACATATCGACGGCACGGATAGATAACGTGATTATGTATGATGATGATGATGAGAAGCACGCAGTGACGAACGACGACGATAGAAGCTCTGTGATGATGATGATGTATTATGATGAGGCAGTTGACTACGGGCGGACGGATAGAAGCGCGAGTATTGATATCATGATGGATGATGGATGATGGCGAGGGCGGAGTGGGAGCGGTACGGGACTGACGGGAGGTGAGAAAGGTGGGCGGGGGGGTGGATTGGATGATTCAGGGGCGGTGATGGGAGGAGGGTGGTGAGGGGGCGGTGCTGGGCGGGTCGGTGGGGGGGGGGGGGGGTGGTGGTAGACGACGACGACGATTGGATGAGAGGGCAGGACGATCGACGGAGCTATCGGAGGGCGGGGTGGGGGGGGGGGTGATCACGGACGATCGCGATGAGCCGGTTTGATTGCATGTGGCGATCATGATGTTGGGAGCGGGGAGTGTGCACGACGACGTGACGATTGATGGAGCAGGACGATGCGACGATCGAGGAGGGGCGGGGGTGGTTGGAGTTGATGGATTTTTAGTTTATTGGGTGGGGGGGGGGGAGGAGGTGCGAGGGAGGGCGAGGCGGGCGCGACGACGACGTACGGAGCGGGGACGGGGCCAGCATCGACGACGACGATCGACGACGGCGGCGGAGGGGGGGCGATCAGCAGAGGATTTGGCAGGCGCAGACCTGGGATGAATATCAGTCCACCGCACGCAAGCGCAAACAATGATGTACAAAGTAGACGCAGAATTAGACTTAACACCCCCATTTTTGAATATCATTTTGACCTGACCGCCTAACACGCAAAGAGGGCTCAGGTACCAATAACAAGAAACACAGCACGAACGGAGGACACAGGGCAGCAAGAGATTCGGATGAAGCAATAGATGTCGGGAACTATAACGCAGAACAAAGCATAGCAAGTACATTCTGGTGTAAACAATAATATATGTGGCTTGGAAACAGAGAACGACATGGAACAACAGAGCAAGAATAGGTTCACAACATATGAGAGGTTGAACTTTATTAGAACGCGGAATACAACAGCGATCAGATTAATCTGGTATGGATACAACTCCAGAGCATGGGAGAGCGAGTTGAACAAGAGAGGCAATGTGAAGCGGAGAGTCAATGTAAGGAAAACACAACCAACAAACAACTCACTAACAGGCGCGAAAAACAGAATCGCCGGTGCGCGTCATCGTCGTCGTCATCATCGTCATTACCGCCATCGTCATCGTCGTCGTCATCATCGTCATTACCGCCATCGTCATCGTCGTCGTCATCATCGTCATTGCCGCCATCGTCATTGTCTTCGTTATCATCGTCATGATCCTCATCGTCATCGTTATCGACGTCGTCGTCGGCATGCGAGCTAAGATTAAAGAGCATGTGTTGTTCCTACCTCCCGCACGCACGCACGCACGCACGCACGCAGGCACGCACGCACGCACGCACACAGGCGCACGATACTGTACAATACAAAAATCCTACTCTACACTATATATATATCTACGCTATAATTCTATTAATGTCATCACTTTCTCGCGCGCACGAGACACTGAGTAAACGTTGTCACGTTACTACGACCGCAGCGCCACCTAATGGCCAAGTTGAGAGTAGCGCCGGTATGTATTGCTGGTGCTTGTGCTGTTCTCTTGTTTGTGTACTGCTGTACACTGGTATATATGGTGGCGCGCGCTAGTGTGTGAGTTGGCAGTGAGTGAGATAAAGAGCCAAGGAGTAGGCATGGGAAACGATTCTTAGGCAAACCTCGGGTGATTCCGCCACCCTCCTTCGTTCCAGCGGTTCTATCACGTTGGTGGTTGATGCACGTCTATACTTCACATGCCCTCATCGGTCACGTGATTTCGTGACGGAAATACAGATAAATTTATAAAACTTTAATTTCTTTGATTTGATCTTCGAGGAAATTTGTGTCATTTTGACAGGCTCAACGAAAATCGTACTGTCCCTAACGTTAAAAACTCGAAATTGCCTAGAATATTAGATTGCATTGGTAGTTTGCCTAGAATCGTAGATCTCTCTGAAAATTATATGGCTCTTGAAAAAGTAGGCCTATTCGAAATAGTTCGGGGAACGTGTGTTATGTACTACGTTGTTACGTATGGCCGAGGTTAGATGATAGTACACAATCGTCCTATCCGCCTGGAGTGATTTCATGGGTAGCTGCAACCAATCAGCTTTGGGATAAGGGCGTTCCAAGTGACAATGCAATGACGGACAACAGTATATATCGATTCTTTAATCTGCATCGTTTCTGATATTAAAGCAGCATGAAGGTGATAGCCTTTTTAAACTTACAACATTTAATCAGCTAATTAACAGCTAATTAAGAGCTAATTAACAGCTTAACCATCATTTTGCATGAGCCAACTGTGACGTATCAACACGTTACGCTGTGACGTATGAATACCACACTGTGACGTATCATCACGTCACGCTATGACGTATTAACACGTTACGCTGTGACGTATGAATACTACACTGTAAGGTATCATCACGTTACGCTGTGACGTATCAACACGTGACACTGTGACGTATCAACACGTGACATTGTGACGTATCAGCACATGACACGGTGAGGTGTCAACACTTTACTCTGTAATGTATTAACACGTGAATATTATTCTTTATAAAAAATTGATTAGATACACTCCGTCACAAAGACGTCGTGTATGCATTACGTCATCCCGTCGCCTCGTGATTGGTTAGACTCACCTGCGACGTGGTGTTGGCCGGAAGCTGGTTGCCGCACCACTTCCGGTCGGCGTCCATGCCTGTCTCTACGTCTATCGTGTCGGGATCTACATCCTCGTGTAGATAGAGAGCGATGAAGCCCTCTCTCCTGCCACACTGCTGCCTGCATCACAGTTTAAAGTTAGCTATCAAATACTAGTATATAGTATTACCTACGACTAACCCTAACCCTCTCTCCTGCCACACTGCTGCCAGCATTACAGCCTAATATCAGCTATCTAGGAAGAGTATTTACTTTTGCCTAACCCTAACCCTAACCATCTCTCTTACTACTAGTATCTACTCTTACCTAACCTTAATCCTAACCCTAACCCTAACCCTCTCTCCTACTACTGGTATCTACTCTTACCTAACCTTAACCCTAACCCTAACCCTAACCCTGACCCCAACCCTCTCTCATAATACTAGTATCTACTCTTACCTAAGCCTAACCCTAACCGTCTCCCTCCTTCCTTGTTCTATCAGACTACAACCCACCATTATTGTTATTGTTAACATATATTAGATCATTTTTAACATTATTAACAATTATATATCATTATTATCAAGCATGTTTTAGTAACTTATAACAGAAACTATGAAATAAAGCTGTAGAAATCTCACAGCTATGTATTATTATGCCTGTACGGCGTGGACTTGTCATACTCGCTGTAGCTCATAAATTCGCTAGAAAACATTAAAACCGCCACAATTAGTGGCTTCGGCATCTAATTGCATTTCTGCCAATTTTATTATGCCACAGATGAGGAATATTATTTATTTCTATAGCGTAATAACGTTAAATGCATATTACCCCCACCCCCATAATGAACAGCAAGTTAAAAACTAGATACGATTACTAGATACACTTACAAAATAATTGTTAAACGCTAGTATACTGGTTAAACCAAGTATACTGTATCTATATTTATTGCATTATTCAATTGAGTTGGTGTTAATAAATTAATAATAAATTCTATAACTATTTAGATATTATTTATATTGCAGTTATATTTGTACTATTATACGAGGAAACAAACAAGAAGTAGCAATTGTAAAGATACGCGAGTATAGTAGTTAAACCAAGTATACTATATTTATCTATATTATATTATTTACTAATTGTTATTATTGTATTAATAATATTTTTTTTTAACTATTTACATATTATGTACATTACTGGCATACTGTAGTTATACTAGTATACGAGAAGAAACAGTAGAAGGAATAGTCGCAAAGAAGCGACTACACTTGATGAAGTGCGAGAAAACGACACGTATTAACATGGATTAGTATGGGTTCATACGTATTAACATGGATTAGTATTGGTTTGTGCGTATTAACATGGATTAGTATTGGTTTTTAGGTATTAAAATGGATTAGTATTGGTTTTTAGGTATTAACATGGATTAGTATGGGTTTGTACGTATTAACATGGATTACTATGGGTTTTTTGGTATTAACATGGATTAGTACGGATTAGTCTGGGCTAACATCGGTTAATACGGGTTAATATGGAGAAAGAGAAGTCAGATAAGACGCACAAATAGGGCGCTGAATGAAGTCAGGAGCGGAGGTGGCTGGCTTAATTTGTACTTGCCCTTACTTGACCTCAATCATTTGACCTTGAAAGATATTGTGTGGCTCAGCGTATAACTGTTTGCTGCAAAGAAGCAGCGCTCTGGCAACGTAATCACCATGGCAACAAGAAACAAAGTACGAAAAACTGCGCTATGCATGCTGGGTGCATTTATTGCGCTCATAATCAAAAACACACACAATAATAAAACAACAAAAAAACTTAAATCGTAAAGTAATAGGTCGATCGAATTGACAGAGTGCGGAGTGGCGTCATCATGACACTGTTGCCATGGCAACGGCGGTGGCGACAAGCGCCAGTAATACGTTAGCGTAAACCGCCGACGCGTCACCTAAAACAAAAACAAAGAATGTTGCAAATAAAGAGGGAAACAAAAATGTGAGGTAATGAAAGTGTCAATGACACTGTAGCTCACCTTGGGTGTGATAGAAGAGGGAGGGGACATATATAAAGCAAGAGTATATATTGGAGAACTCCCATTATATAGCATATCTCCCATTATATACTCTTGATAATGATATATGCATAAGTTTTGATGCGAA